AACTGGAGGCTAAAAACTGTGAGCTAACTCACACAAACTCAGCTTAGAGGGAACACTGGTCAGGAGCAGGGCAGAGAGGCCGAGGCCTCCCCCCCCCCAGACTGCCTCCTGGTTCGGATCGGTGCCTCTGGATGGGGAGGTACCCCTCAGCCGCCACGGCCCGGGGCCTTCCACAGGCTGATCCTCCATGACTCTGTCTAATCCCCTTGACCAGTGCTTCCTCTCAGCTGGGCCAGTGTGAGCCAGCTCACAGTTTTTTAGCCTCCGGCTCACACATTTCTGTCTGAGCTCGGGAAGGAGGGCTCCGGAGCAAACCGACGTATGCGGTAGCCAAACCCCTCGCTCACAACTTCAATGCCAGTGGCTCACCTAGTAGGATTCCTGCTCACGAGACTCTGCAGCTTAGAGGGAGGCATTGCCGTTGACCCCTTTGGAAGCCCTGTGTGCCTGTGGCCATCACCGCGTCCTCTGGGCGGCGAATTCTGCACTTCGGTCACTCTCTGTGTACAGCTGTATGCCTTTTGTCTGTCCTGAACCTACTGCCCATCGGCTTCATTGGATGCCCTCGAGTGCGAAACACTGCTCCGCGTCAACTCCCCATCGGCTTCCTTGGATGCCCTCGAGTGGAAACACTGCTCCGCGTCAACTTTCTCACCACCCCACGCGTTGTTTTATACACCTCCATCGTCTCCCCCGTCAGCCATCCCTTTTCTCAACTGAGAAGTCCCAGAGACTCTTCAGCCTTTCCTCCTCGGGAAGGGGCTCCGGCCCCCCTCATCATCTTGGTCGCCCCTCCCCTGTACTTCCCCCAGCTCTGCAGTGTCCTTTTGGAGAGCCGGTGACCAGAACTGTACACCGGAGGCATTAGGATGTCACCCGTTTAATTCTCAGTCCCTCTGGATCATCTAGACCAGTGATGGCGAACCTTTTAGAGACCGCGTGCCCAAACTGCGACCCAAAACCCACTTATTTATCGCAAAGTGCCCACACGGCAATTTAACCTGAATACGGAGGTTTTTACTTTAGAAAAAACAACCCACATATTAACTTAAGATGATCCAAACAAAGTAAGGAAAGCAATCCCAAATGCTTTCATTGACTTAAAATTATTTGGCAGAGAATTCCACACTTTAATGACGGTCTGGACCTGGCTGGGGCGATGGCACGCGTGCCCACAGAGAGGGCTCTGAGTGCCACCTCTGGCACCCGTGCCATAGGTTCGCCACCACTGATCTAGACCAAAAAGTTGCACCAGAGGCGGCACACCAAAGCTCCCCTCCCCAAAGTCCTGTCGCCTGCCCAACCCGGAAAGCCAGGGCCCTTCCACAGCTTTGCTCCTGGCACTTGCTTGGCATGGGTGCCCACCAGCCTGCCCCTGGAAGGCCAAGGCAGTGGGCATGGGCCACCAGGAGCCCGAAAAGTCTTTGTTTCCTTTCTTCTATCCCCCCCCAGGCCAGCTTGGCTTTTCCTGCCTCTCACAACCTTTGCTTTGGGACCCACACTTCTCCCCTCTGGGGACTCTCCCCTTTCGCTTGGGGGCTGAAATACCCCAGCACCCCCAGCAGATGGGGCACCGGGGCCACATGAGGAACCGGGGGGGGGTCAGCAAACCATGAGGGAGGGTACACCAGGGGTCTCGGCAGGCGGCCCTATTTTCACAGGCCTTGTGCGATCCTTGGCACAAGGTGGAGTTGGCCTGGGATATCTCAGGCCTGTGTTAGGTGGGTTAATGCAGAAGAACCGAAAAGTAGGAGAAGAAGAAGGAGATTGGATTTCTACCCCCTGCCCTTCACTACCCAAAGGAGTCCTAGAGCGGCTGACAAACTCCTTTCCCTTCCCCTCCCCACAACAGACACCCTGTGAGGTCGGTGGGGCGGAGAGAGCTCTGACAGAAACTGCTCTTTTTCAAGGACAGCTCTTGTCAGAAGAACTATGGCTTGCCCAAGGTCATCCAGCAGGTGCCAGTGGAGGAGTGGGG